CTTCGATCTAATTAAACTCATCAGACCGAGCTCATCCATCAAAGTAAACTCATCAGACCAAGCACAACGATCTAACTAAACTCATCAGAGAAAGCGCGATCTAAGTAAACTCATCAGAACAAGCACATCGATCTAAGTAAACTCATCAGACCGAGATCATCGATATAAGTAAACTCATCTGAGAAAGCTAATCGATCAAATAAACTAATCAGAGCAAGTTAATCGATCTAAGTAAACTCATGAGACCAAGCCAAAAGATCTAACTAACCTCATCACACAAAGCTCATCGAACTAAGTAATCTCATCGGACAAAGCTAATCGATGTAAGTAAACTCATCGGACAGAGATAATTGATCAAAGTAAACTGATCAGACCAAGCTAATCGATCTATGTAAACTCATCAGAGCAAGATAATCGATCTAATTAAACTCATCAGACCAAGCACATTGACCTAATTAAACTCTTCAGAAAGAGCTCATCGATATAAGTTAACTCAACACAGCAAGCCCATCGATCTAAATAAACTCATCAGACCGAGCTCATCGATCTAACTTAACTCACCAGACTAAGCCAATCTATCTAAGTAAACTCATCAGACCAAAATCATTGATCTATGTAAAGTCATCAGAGCAAGCTAATTGATGAAGGTAAACTCATCAGACCAAGCCCATCGATCTAAGTAAACTCATCACACCAAGCTCTTCGATCTAAGTAAACTCGTCAGTCTGAGATCATCGATTTGAGTAAACTCATCAAACCAAGCTCATCGATCTAAGCAAACTCATCTGACCAAGTTATTCGACCAAATAAACTAATTCGAGAAGATATTCGATCTAAGTAAATTCATGAGAACAAGCCAATCGATCTAAGTAAACACATCCAACCAAGCTCATCGATCTAAGTAAACTCATCGGACCAACTTAATCGATCTAAGTAAACTCATCAGCCAGAGCTAATTATTCTAATTATACTCATCAGACAAAGCTCATCGATCAAAGCAAACTCATCTGACCATGCTAATCGATCAAATAAACTAATCAGAGCACCGATAGGAGGCACGGCAGGGACACAGCCAAGTCTAGGGTCAGAGAAGGCCTCCATGAGGAAGAGATGTTTGATCTGAGATGCAAAGGACAGGGAGGAATTAGCTAAACAAGAGATGAGGAAGGAGGGGGCTCCAGGCTGACTAAACAGCAGATGCACGATAGGAGGCACGGCAGGGACACAGCCAAGTCTAGGGTCAGAGAAGGCCTCCGTGAGGAAGAGATGTTTGATCTGAGATGCAAAGGACAGGAAGGAATTAGCTAAACAAGAGATGAGGAAGGAGGGGGCTCCAGGCTGACTAAACAGCAGATGCAAATGCTGGAGTTGACAGGATGTGTGCTCTGTTCAATGCACTAGGAAGTTCAGTTTGGTAGGAGTGCGGGGTGTGTGTGGGCACAATGAGAAGGGGGCCGATGAGCAGGCAGGAGCCCCCAAGGCCACTTGATGATCCTGGCTGTTACCCAACGAGCAATGCTAAGCCTGTGGAAGGCTTTGGAAGGAGAGAAGTGGCAGGAGCATAGCTTTGAGATAGGGTTCCTGGATCTGCAGGGGAGAAAGTGAGGGAGAAGGTGGCCCAATGAGGGGCACTGCTGCAGCAGTTCAAGGAAGAGGAGAGAGAGGCAGCCGGGAGAGAGTGTGCAAAGCTCTTCGGAAGGCAGAGTTGACAGCACTTAATTAGATCTGGTGAGTGACTGGAAGGGTCAAGGTTGACACCTGGGATTCTATTGGAAACTGAAGGTACCATTCACTGCAGTGGGGAAGATTGAAGGAGAAACAGGTTGGAAATGGGGAAAAGGTGATGGTTTAGGATGCCTGCCAAGAAAACATCCAAATGGTGATGTCTGTGGGTAGCTGGACACACTGGCTGGAGCTGCACATTTGGGCATCAGCGCCATATTGTTGGTAATAAAACTATGCATAGACACATCTGCTTGGGGAGAGAGTATAGAATGAGGGGCATAGGGCTCTGACAAAAGCCTTGAGCTCATTTAAAGGTGAATGGGAAAGAGCCAGATGGGGGCAGGGAGAAGCACAAAGGAATAGATGCACCTAGAACTTGGGAGACTAAATCTGCCTCCAGGCACTGATTCTAATGGTCTGTCCTCAGGTATGTGCTGCTGCATCATGTGATGGGGAGCCTGGAGGGGATGCAGGGGGCCTGGGGCTACGTCCAGGGTGGTATGGGTGCCCTGTCTGATGCCATCGCAAGTTCAGCTACTGCTCATGGAGCAAGTATCTTCACTGACAAGGTGAACAGCCCCTTTATACCTTGCCCTGATTATTGGCAAGGATCCCACGATAGCACAGAATCTCGGATTTGGAAGGCCTGTCATTTTACTGATGAACAAGGGGGGGCTCTGCATCAAGAGATTGAGGTTGTGCAGCCTGTTGGTGGCTGAGCAATTATCAACAAGACCCCAGTTCTTCTGCCCACGCCCTTCAAATTACCAGCTCACTATACCCCATTGGGCTGAGCCTTCATATTGGAGGGGGTGGGTTAAGGCTTCATGGGGAAGCTGCAGAGCTTAGGGGTGGAGGCGTGGATTTGGGATAAGGAAGCTATGAGTGTCTGGGACATAAGCAATGGTAAACCTCCAAGATCTAACTTGGATTTCCCTTGCTGGGGGGTTTCTGGGGCTTCTTTCTGGTGGGCTCTAGACAGTGGTGAAGGTGCAGGTGAACAGCGAAGGGTGTGTTCAAGGAGTCGTGCTCCAAGATGGCACGGAGGTGAGGAGCAAAGTGGTGCTATCCAACGCTGCGCCGCAGGCCACCTTCCTGGAGCTGGTGCCACAGGTGAGGGCGGGGCTGTGGAGGGAAGATGCCTGCCGAGATGGGCATTGGAAAATGGGGCCTTGGGGAACCAGGAAGTCATGGGGGTAGGAGATGTCAGTGCCAGGTCTCTGTGTTTGGAGAAGCAGACAGGTAATGGGCTGGTGGCAAGCAGGGAGGAAGCCTCCCAGGTGATGAGAAAGGTGCAGAGAGGTGAGGTGTCCCAGGCCATGCAGCTGGTAGTTGGCAGAGCCAGAGCTGGAACCCAGGTTACTACTGAATTATTACTACAGCTTTCCTGCTATCTTGATTTCCCCCCTTACCAACTCTAATTCCACTGTCTGTGTCAATTATCTATTGCCACCTGAATGCTGCATAACAAACAACCACAAAACTTCTGGGCATGCAATAGGAACTATTAGTACCCAGGTCTGGAGAACTCAGTTGGTCTTGGCTGAATTCATCTGACCTGGGCTTGCTCATGCATCTGTGGTTGGCTGGGAGTTACCTCATCAGCTCTGCTGATCTTGGCTGGGTTTGTTCACATGCTTGGGAGTTGGCTGGCTGGGGTTGGTCCAGGACAGTTTCTGCTGGGGTGACTGGGGTGACTCGGCTATGCTCCCTGTGACTTCATCCCCAGGACAGTAGTCCAGGCATGCCCTCAGGGTCTGGCAGAGGGCAAAAGCAAGCAAGCTCAATCACGCACACATCGTGGTGTTTGATCTGTGTGCATCATATTTGCTAACATTGACCAATGCAAGTCTCATGGCCGAGCCCAGAGGGCACTACAAAGTTACACAGAAAAGTGCCATGCATACAGGGAGGGGTGAGGATTTGGGCCAATTTTTGCAATAGACCACACTTCCTGTCCCCCAAAGGTATGATAATACGTATATGAGCTTGGAGCACCCAACTATTCTTAGGGCTATTCATAAGGCAAAGCATACTTTTTCTGAGTGTTCACTAATAAAATTCAACAAACATCAGTGTAAAGCTCTTGTTAAGGCAGTTCTGAGATAATCAAGACTTCCAGGCTCTTGCAGACTGGAAGAGAAAAGAGGCCTACAAACCCCTGGCCCTATCCAGAGGTGTGGGCCACTGGCAGAGCACAGAAGTGGGTAGTGCCAAGTGGGAGGGGGTCCAGGAACGCTTCACAGGGGAGGTGGCTTTGCCTGAGCTCTGAACAATGAAGAGAGTTTCTGGAGGCAGAGGCCAAGGCACCAGCCTGAGCAAAGGAAGAAGGCAGCTTCCTGGGGCCTTGGCCACCCCCAGTACTTACGTGGAGGCTTCTCCTTTCAGGAGTGGCTTCCTGAGGAGTTCGTGGAGAGAATCTCTCAGGTGGACACCCAGTCTCCTGTTACCAAGATCAATGGTAAGAGGCACAGATTGCAGAGCTCTCTCTTGACACTACCTGAGCAAGAAATCTCCAAGTGTGGGCAGAACTCACCTCCGTCATCATGTCCCTTCCCTGACCTCTGGCCTGCCCCCACTTTGCTGCTGAAAAACTTTTTTTCCATACTCTCATATCCCAGTCCACCACTTGGCAGGCAAGTGACAGCTATGGAGGGAGGACCCTCGGGCCCGAGGATCTGACTCTCCTCTTTGGTCCCTCAGTGGCTGTAGACAGGCTGCCCAACTTCCTGGCAGTCCCCAATGCTCCTGGGGGCCAGCCACTGCCCCACCACCAGTGCTCCATCCACCTGAACTGTGAAGACACCCTCCTCCTCCATCAGGCCTTCGAAGACGCCATGCATGGTCAGCCGTCTCAGTGGTACGTGGGCTCTGGGCTTTGCATCCCCTGGGATGTTCTTACACGTGGGCCGGGGGCAGCAGCTGTCCATGCAAAGACTCAACAGGGATCGGTCTCTTCTGCCTGGCATTAAACATTCACAGTGGCTAAATCCATGTGTAAGTTCTAAGGACAGAAAGTGCATCCCAGGCAAGAAATCTGCGGACCAGGGCAGGTAAGGGGTGAAGAGCAGGACATGTCGGGGAGTGTCACAGGTTAGGGGCAAAGCATGGACAGTGCAGTCATTTGGGAAGAGGAGAAAAAAAAATGCTTTCTGGGAAAGAATCTGATTCAGCAGCCCACCAGAGGACACACACTCACTGAGTGCCCTGTTCTGTGTCCTCTCTTATGACTGATAGCTGCCTTCATGCAAAACTCTACAAGCATCTCCCACCTTCCACTGCAGCTGTAGCTCCATCCTTCCAGGAACAGGCAGGGATGCTATAGGAGCAAGCATCTCTCCATCCTGTCCCTTGTCCAACAAACACTTGTCAAAAACCTATTCTGTGCCAGGCTTTGTACTAGGCATGGGTTGGGGAGCTGGGGGTCAGGCAGGGACATGAAATAGACACAAAGCTTGTAATAAGACAGGCACACAATTATTTATAGCATAAGGTAAAGAAGATGTGTACCCAGAGAGCAGGGTGGAGAGCAAAGTTCATTTATCAGTTCATAAATTTTAGGGGCCCCTACGCTGTGCCAGGCTTGGCTCAGGGACCTGGGCACAGAGCAGCAAGCAAAGTCAGCAAAACCTCTGCCTCGGATGGCTGACCTTGTACTGCTGGGAGACAGGACAACAAACATGCACTGATGATAAGCCCTATGGAGAAAAATTCAGCAGGAAAGGGGATGGTTTGCTATTCTTTATGAGAAGGACAGGAAAGGCCTCTCTGATAACTGACATTTGAGCAGAGACCTGAAGGATATGACAATGCAGGTCTTGTGGGTATCTGGGAAAAAACATCCAGATGGAGGGAAGGTCAGGTGCAAAGGCCCTGGGGCCCACTGCTGTGATGGAGGCACAGGGACGAGGCCACAGTGGCTGGAGAAAAAGAACCCGGGAGTGAAGGGTCTGAGAACCACAGCTGCTAGGTCCATCAGATCCTGTCCACTGCTCCTGGCTTTTACTCCAGATTTATGCAGAGCTCGGCATACTTTAGAAAGACCACCCTGGCCACTGTGTGTTCAAAAAGTTAGGGCATCTGTTGCAATTGCTTACTGTTGTAGAATCCACGGGAGG